GAGCTGGGGCGCGCGCTGGATGGCGAGCGCCGGGGGGCAGCCCCCAGCCCCCCCGCGGTGTCCAGCTCGCTCTCGCACGATGCCCGCTGGACCACTGCGATGGCGGACAGGTGAGCATGCGAAGATGATGTCTTTAGACTCGAGGCGCGGGCGCTCGTGACGGCTGCGTCTCGCGCCGCGCGCTGCCAGCCAGTGCAAGGGCGCCGCATTCTGCGATCGGGAGATATCCTGCCAGTTGTGCTCTGTTTCTGCAGTTCCAGGTCCAGGATATCGGCTTCTTATTCAGGTCCGTCGTTTCGCTGCCCCGTGCCTCGCCAGAAACGTCAGGTTCGCCGCTCAATGGGCCCCGAGTGGGTTCAGTTCTGGTGACGAAGGTAGTCGGATATTCGGTCCTGGGCACGATCGTAGCCAGACTCTCGTTGTCCATCTTGACCCAAACTCGCTTTCGCCACAAGTTGCTCCAGGCTTGGTTGATGCCGGCGCAGGGAGCTCCACCTGACCGCGAGACCCCGCGGCAGAGGTCGCTGGCCCGCGCGGCGCCTTCGGCGTCGTTGCCGGGCCCGTCGGCCAGGCGGCGCGCGAGGGCGCTGCGCGCTGGCGCGGCGGTCCGAGAGGCGACAGAGGGGCCGCCGTCGCAGCCGTCGCAGAGGGCCCGCGCGCTGGCTCGGAGCCGCGGGCTTCCTGCCAGGGCGGCGGCGCGGGGGGGGGCTCGGCCGCCGCGCGGGGAGACTGCACAGAGCCGTTCGGAGGCGGGCCGCCACGAGCCCCCGCTGCCGAGCGCCGTCGCCAGCGGCCGAGGGGTCGACGCGGCCGAGAGCCAGAGTGGCGACAGCAGCGACGCGGGGGAGCACGCCGTCGCGGCCAGCTGCGCGAGGCGACTCGAGACCCGCGGCAAGGCCCAGCCGTTGAAGGCGATCGTTGCGCTGGGGGAGACCCCGCGCGCCGCTGGCGGGGAGAAGCTGGGCGTCGGCTACCTCGAGAGGCGATCCGCGGGGGCGGTCGCGCTCGAGACCTACAGCCAGCGCGTCCTCGCCGTCTGCGTCTGGCCCCGCTGCTCGCCGGCGGCGCCCCCGGAGCCGGCCGTCTTGGACGCGATATTAGTGGTCTGCGTGAATGGGGAGTTCCTGGGGGGCATCAGGGCCTGGCGCGGTGACGCGCTGCTGGCGGAGCTAATGTTCCCCCGCCCGGATTGCGGCCGCCTGGGTGGCCTGCGCCTGCCCCGCCCTCTGCGGCGCTTGAAGGGCTGGAAGAAGTTGTCACCGCCTCGCTCTCGGAAGCCTTTGGCGCTTGCGACCTGATCGGCCATCGCAGCGGAGCTGCGCCGCCTGGAAGCCCCCTTGGCGGGAGCGCTAGCGCTGGCAATGGTGGAGTGATATATTCGACCCGGGGAGATGCTAGGGCTGGCCAGCAATTCTTCCCAAGCCCCGCGCGAGCACGCCGTTCAGAGTCTGGCCACATGGTTGTTTCGGGAGGCGGGAGTTGCTCGGGGCAAAGTGGGTTCGTCAGACGGCACCACTCCTCGCGACTCGGATCGATGTCACTGGATGGGTCACATTTTCCGTTCCCTGCAAGACAAGAACTCGTCGTTGCCCCTCCCGGGCCTGTGCTATCCTCGGTTTTTAGGCCTCTTTCTCTGCGCTGCTCTGAACATCGGATTTGGCGTCGCCCCGCGTCAAAGCCGGCGCAGCGGGGCATCGCTGGGCCGGGCAACGGGCCGGCGGTCGCAAGAGGAGGTCCAAAAGCGAGGGAGATGGGCGGCGCTGTCATCGGTCAAGAGGTCCCAGAAGTCGGTCGGCTGAACGAGAGTTCGAAAATTGGGAATGCCTGCAGGAGGCTACGAAGGCACACTGCGTGACGGCGTTGGGGCAGCTGGGGGATGCGTCGCTGCTCGGACGGGCCGCTCCAGCACGGCCGGTCGTGCGCCGACGAGGCCCTCGCGCGGCCGAGTGAGTGAAGAGCCGCGCTGCCACGAGAGCCCTTACCTGCTGGATGTGTTCTCAGGCGGCGGTGGAGTTGCCAGGAGTGCGAGGCGGCTTGGATGTAATTCGGTGGGCCTCGATTTGAGTCGGCCAGATCAGGATGTTTGCAGCTGTTTGAATCTCAGAGTGATTGAGCGGCACTTCAGACTTGGCTTAAGCAGAGCGGTGATGTTGGCGCCGCTGGTTCTCCGTTCTCGCTCGCTCGCAACCGCTGCCCTGTCCGAAGTGCCGAGTGCCCCGGGCCTCCCCCGCAGCTTCGTGATCGGGGTAGAGCTACGGTGCGCACGGGGAACCTTTTCACGCGGGTGGCAGCGTGCATTGTGAGACTGCGCCAGCTTCACTCTGTGCCTCTATGCGCCGGGGAATCCCATGACCTCGCGCACGTGGCGCCGCAGAGAATGCGTCAGCACGTGCTGCCGTGCAGCCGCGCGGTAGACCTTCATCAACGTTCGTTTGGATCCAGTTGGGGAAGTGACTCGAGTGATTTTCGGCTGCGCGACGGAGTCTGGGGACCTGGCCGTGGTGTGCCTGGGCCGCCTGACATGTCATGGGAAGCGCGGCCACTGCTCGTTTCGCCCAGGTCACAACCATGTCGTTCTGGAAGGAGAGACATTACCCCGCGGGGCTGCGGCATATCCCTCTCGTTTTTCCTTTTGGTTGTGCGCAGCTTTGCTAGTTGCGTGAGATTTTAGAGTGTCGTTGCGTCCTTCGAATCTGAGGGTCGACGCCTTTCCGCCCCCGTAAGTGGTCTGCGCCGATGCGCTGAGAATTTCGGCCTTGCGAATAATATGGATGATGAGCCCTGCCGTCGCATGCCTCGAGCCCCCTGGTCGCGACCGTGAGATGGCAGATTTTACCGCTAAAAAAAGGAATAACATTGAGCATGTACGTGCGTTGCGCGGGTTTGTTCCGCGCGCTGTTGCCGCCCTGCAGCAGCTTTGCCTCGCCGCCGCAGGGGCTCGAACTAGCCCGGCCGCGGTCGCCCTGGATTTGTTTTTTTGCATGGCCTTTCACTTCATGGAATGAAGATCCCTGGCGCTGCATGCCTCGAACCCCTTGGTCGCGACCACGAGGTGTCAGACTTCACCGCTGAAAAAGAAGATTGAGCACGGGCGTGCTCTCGTCGCTCCCTCGGCTAGTTTTCGGGCCTTGGTGGGCCCGAAGAACTTACGCGGCGAGATTCGACGCGTCCCGTGAGGCGCGCGGGGCCCCCCAGAAGATATGAGAATGTTGGGCTTGGGCCCTTCTAAAGATCTTCTGGATTGAGGACTGACTTGGGGGCGCCAACTCGCGCCTCAAGGGCGCGGCGGCTGATTTCCACTGCGGTAAGCGACCCATGAGAATACAACCGTCTGCGCGTCTTCAATATTGCAAACTCAGGCTCGAAACTTCGACGCCGCCCGCTGAGGCGAAAATTACCTTTTGCATAGGAGCCACCCTCCATCCGTGAAGCAGCTACAAACTTGTCAGGCCAAAGTGCTCGGCGCTAAGGCGAGAGCCACATTTTGAACGCGAATCGCTCTCCATCCGTGAAGATGCTGCGAACGTTTAAGACGAATGCGCGCGGCGCTAAGGAGGCGAGAGCCACATTTCGCAAATGAGCCATCCATGGAGCCGCCGCAAAATTTCAAGACGAATGCGCGTGGTGCTAAAGCGAGAGCCACATTTTGAAAACGAATCGTTTTCCATCGTCGACGCTGTTGCAAAGTGTTGAACCAATGCGCGCGGCGCTCGGCGAGATCTTTGAAAACGACCCGCGATCATTATGTGAATGTATTGTCAGTGTCTGACTCCGCTGTTCCAAATGCCAAGGAAGACTCAAGCGAGTCGCCCGGCCCGCCTTACCAACACATTCGGAGGTGCGACAGGGAGGAATTATTGATGAGTAAAGGGATGGAGGAAGAGTAGGCGGAGGAGGAGGATGAGGAAATCCCCCTCCCCACTCCCGCTCGGACTCCTCCTCTCTCCTCTGCCTCCCTCCTCCCTCGCTCTTGGCCTCCGCGACCTAGCTGCTGCCCCTTGTGGGGGGTAGACTTGGGGTGGGGCCACGCGCGGGCCCGCGACCCAGAAACGGACGCCCGTCCGCCCCTGGAGCGTCAAGGACAAAGAGCATCGCACTCCTGGTCGCCGCTGCCGCTTGGATCCTGCTCCCGCCGCTGCCTCCCGATCCCTCTGCCTCCCGCTCCTGTTCCCGTGCTGCTCCCGCTCTGGCTCCGGCCGTTGCCACCTCCCACTCGCAATGATATTGATGATGATGATGATGGTGATGATGATAATCATGATGATGTTGATGATTATGATGATGATGATGATGATGATGATGATGACGATGATGATGATGATGATGATGATGATCGTCGTGGTCGTGGCGGTCGTGGTGGTGTTGGTGATGATGATGATGATGATGATGATGATGATGATGGTGCTGATGCTGATGCTGATGCTGATGCTGATGCTGATGCTGATGATGATGCTGATGCTGGTGATGATGATGATGATAATGATGATGATGATGATCAAGATGATGATCAAGATGATGATCATTATGATGATGATGGTGATGACGATGGTGATGAATGTGGTGATGACGATGGTGACAATATTACAGTAATCGTAGAACGGATGACGGTGAGGATGATGATGGTGACGATGACGATGATGATGATGACGATGTTGGTGCTGATGATGATAGTGATGGTGGTGATGATGATGTTGATGTTGGTATGGATGATGATGATGATGATGATGATGATGATGATTATGATTCAAATGCTGTTGATGATTATGTTGATAAAGATGATGATTATTATGATGAAGATGATGATGTTGATGATGATGATGATGATGATGATGATGATGATGATGATGATGATGATGATGATGCTGCTGCTGATGATGATGATGATGATGATGATGATGATGATGATGGTGGTGGTGATGGTGATGGTGATGGTGATGACTGCGGTGATGACGATGATGATCAAATTGCAGTGATACTAGTACGGATGACGATGAGGATGGATGTGCTTGCTCGGGAATGCTGTCTTTGGAGTTGCAGCTCCGCCGTCTCTCCCTCCATCGGCCATGGGCACGATGGCTCGAGTATTTTCAGGTAAGACAAGTCGCCCGTGCCGCTATGCTAGAGCTCGCGCGCGGGATCAGCACCCCTGGCGGTGTGGGGCGCATCGGTGCCGTGCCCAGAGTGCTCTCCCACCGTGTCCTGTCCAGCGGTGCCGGCGGCCACTGGCCACCTGCGTCTGCGCGACGCTCTCGCCGTTGGTTGTGGCGGGAGGTGCCTTGCTGCTGGCGCTGATCATCCTCAGGGTGTACCTCCTCGGCGCAGTGTGGAACCTCTCCACTCGGTCGGAGTCGCGGCTTGGCCCGAGGTGTGAGCTTGCGTTCCCCGCGGAGACGCCGCAGCTGACGTTCGAGGAGCAGGCGAGGGCGCAGTTGACCTACCTGCAAAGGCGATCTACGGGTGCTCGGCTGGCGTGATGGCGTTCCAAGCTGCAGACTACCTGTTGGTGGGCCAGAATCCTTGATGTTCGTTGGTGCTTTTGGGATTTTTGTTCGGTTTCTCACGTTTTTGAGCTTCCAACGTTCCAAGACGGACGACGACGCCCCCAAGACCGCCCCAAGACCGCCGAAGAGGCCCCCGAACGAGCCCCAAGACGGCCCCAGGGAGCCCGAAGATTGCCCAGGAGGAGCCCCAGACGGCCCAAGAGAGCTCCAGGACAGGCCCAAGCTGGGCCACAGAGCGGGAGCGGGAGGCCCCAAGGCGCTCCAAGACGGCCCAGATGGCCCCAACGTGGCCCCAGATGGGCCCAACACGGCAAATACACAGCCCAAGAGGCCTCCAAGAGGCCCAAGAAAGCTCCGAGAGGCGTCCCGAGAGAGCCCGAAGAGGCCCAAATCTTTGATTTGCAATGGTTTTTCGACGTTTTCCGCTTCCTCGCGTTCTGGAGCTTGCAACGCTCAAAGAAGGCAGAAGACGCCCCGAAGATCGCCCCAAGACCGCCGAAGAGGCCCCCCAAAGAGCCCCAAGACGGCCCCAGAGAGACTGAAGACTGCCCAAGAGCAGCCCGAGACTGCTCAAGAAAATCCCTGGACAGGCCCAAGATGGGCCCCAAAGCGGGAGCGGGAGGCCCCAAGGCGTTCCAGGACGGCCCTGATGAGCCCAACGTGGCCCAAGATGAACTCAAGACGGCAAACGCACGGCCCAGGGCCTCCAAGAGACCCCAAGAGAGCTCCGAGAGGCGCCCCGAGAGAGCCCGAAAAGGCCCAAATCCTTGATTTACATGTTTTACAAGCTGTTTTCCATTTCCTCGCGTGCTTCCAAGACTCCAAGACGGCCGACGACGCCCCCAAGACCGCCCCAAGACAGCCGAAGAGGCCCCCGAACGAGCCCCAAGACGGCCCCAGGGAGCCCGAAAATTGCCCAGGAGGAGCCCCAGACGGCCCAAGAGGCCCCAGGACAGGTCCAAGCTGGGCCACAGAGCGGGAGCGGGAGGCCCCACGGCGCTCGAAGACGGCCCAGATGGCACAGGCCTCCCCTTTCCGTCCCTCTATCCCTCCCGCCCCCCCCTTTGCCTCCATTCCCTCCTCTCCTCTTCCTCCCCTCGCCCCTCAGCTTTCGTGTTCCTCCCTCCTCTCCTGGGACGGCCCCGCCAGAGCGCCAGACAGGCCCCGCCAGAGCGAGCGGGGCATGGCTATACCCTATAGTTTCACATGTTGCTTTGCCCCTTCCCACCCCTCACGGGCGGCCCCGGCAGAGTGAGAGGAGTGTTGCCATACCATATACAGTCCTTGTTCTTTCTTGCCCCTCCCACCGCGCCCGAGGTAGCCATGTCAGAGCAAACGGGGTGTGGCTACACCATAATTTTCCCAAGGTTTCGTGTTCCTCCCTCCCCTCCTGGGCCCCGCCAGAGCGCCATGGAAATCCCTACACCAAACTATTTCACGCGATTCTTGCTCCTCCCACCCTTGCAGGGAAGACCCGCCCCAGCGAGCGGGGTGTGGCTGTAGTATACAAGTTATCAGGTTTGTGCTCTCCCACCTCCTGAGAGGCTTCGCCAGAGCGCCAATAAGGTACCGCAAGAGGCCCCGTCAGAGCTCCAGGCAGCCCCATACATGGGACTTGCCAGGCAAATCATTGAGCATCCCCCGTGAGTCCGAACCTTCTGATCTCACGGGTGCGGTTATCGCTGGCATGAGATTCGGCGCCCAGCACAAAAAAGATTCCCCACTCCCGTGGACGGAGTCGACAACAATTGATTCCAGACAAGGGCATTTGATGACTGGGACATCTGCGCGCGCCCTGTGCAGATGCCCGACAGCTGAACGACCGGTGAGAACGAGAAGCTTGGAGCACAAGTAGGAGGGGAAAGCAACGCACTCCCACGCGTGCGCAAGGAGGTCCCGAACCAACTCCAACATCAGGAGCTGGCGGCTGTCTGCGTGGTCGGGCATGGGGAGACCGAGCAGATGTGCAAAAACATTGAATGGCACGACGGGGCACCAGGGAAGTTAAAGTGGAGAAAAAACGCAGTTCGATAAACCAAACAAATGCGGCAGCGAGATTGTGAGATACGCGGGAACGTGGCGCCCCGCGTTTTGACTAGTCGCTTCTTTGCGTCAGTAGCCTGGGCCCGAGCACGCTGGAAATCGTCGTTGTGGCCACAGCGGGGCTTACAGCGGCACCCGTGGCTCAACTGCGACTAAAACCTAAACGCGCGCGTGGTTCTAGTGTATTTACATGGCGGCCCAAGGATCGATTTTGTGTGGATGTATTGTAAAGGCCTCTGGCCGGTGCCGCCGATCCGGGACGATCCCGCTGTCAGAAGGGCGCTTTCGCCCCAGCGCGGAGTGATTTTGTCCCTTTTTCCGCGTTGCGCTTCAGTTTTGTAGGCAATGAAAAACATATGGGTCCGAGTCTTTCCGCATCCTTATCGAGGCCTCCCAGGGGGGCCTCTTGGAGGTGATTGTTGAACCTCTTGGGGGCCTTTTGGGTTTCTTGGGGGGCATGCAGGAGGCATCCTGGAGGCCTCCTGGGGTTGTGTAGGAGGTTATTTTCAAGCCTTCGGGAGCGTTTTTGGGCGCCTTGTGGGGGCCTCTTGAGGGCCACTTGGAGCCTCTCGGGGTTTCCGGAGGACTCCCAGGCAATTTTGGTGTCTCCTGGGCGCCTCTGGGGCCGTCATGGAACCCTCTTGCGGGCTTCTTGGGCCCGTCCTGGGGCCCGCTTGGGTTGTCTTGGGGGCCTCCTGGGCCGTCTTGGGCCCTTCTTGGGCCGCCTTGGGGCCCTCTTGAGAGTCTCTGGGCCTATTTTGGGGGTCTCTTGGGCCGTGGTGGACACTGCGAAGGCCGAAGAAGCGAAAATGCAACACCCAAAAAAAACGTTCTGAAGGAAATGGGACAGATTTTCCATCTTTGGGCACTCTTTGGAGGTGTCGGGAAGGGCACGTTGGAGGCTTTGGAGCCGTCTGAGGAACTTTTTGGATGTCCTGGAGCGATGTTTCGGCCACTCAGGGCCCTCTTGGGCCGTCTGGGCGGCTGCCGGATTTTTAAGAGCCCGCGCTCGAGCTCTCCAGGGCGAGGGGCCAACCCGGAGTGAGCTGGAGCTCCGATTTTGCCATCAAAATTGACTCGGAACCACCCCTCCCCCCTACTCCGGCAGAGCCACCCCGGCACCCACCCCCCCAGCAGAGCTGAAGCTCAAGAACTGAGGCTCAGGCTATTGCTGAGGATCTTTGAAACTCACACGCCGGATCGGCGGATTTTTCCCCACGTCCACAGTGTTTTTTGTTTTCTCTGGACACCTCGCGCAGGAACAGGAACACCCCCTCCCTTTTCACTCACACACTCGCGTACTCACATCATCATCATCATCATCATCATCATCATCATCATCATCATCATCATCATCATCATCATCATCATCATCATCATCATCATCATCATCATCATCATCATCATCATCATCATCGCCGCATCATCATCAGTTACACACTCGCACACACGTTCACACTTTCATTTCTCACCTCGCTCAATCACACACACACACCTGCTACTCACCACTCATCATCATCATCAGCATCATCATCATCATCATCATCTTCAGCATGATGATCATCATCATCATCATCATCATCATCAGCATGATCCTCATCGTCGTTATCACAGCACCATCGTCAATATAACTTCGTCTGTGAGTGAATTGCGAGGAAGTCTCGGGCAGGAGTCCTCTCCCTATCGGGCTCGCCGCTTTTTTTATGTTAAACAACAAATTCCGAGCGGGTCATTGGAACCTTGTTACTGACGGTACTTGTGGGCCCCTGAAGCCTAGCCGTCATCCATGCTGTGTGGAAGCTCTTGAAGGCTTCAGACATTCTATAAGAAGAAGCATACGTAAAGATCAAATTTCTGCGCCGCTGTGAGGGTCCATCGCCGATGAAAGCTTCTGTTTATTCAGAGGTTTCTTTTTCGATCATGGGCATCCCACATGGGGTTCTCGCTGATGGGGTCGGAGGATCGCAACGAATCGCCGACACATCGCCGATGCACGCGCGATGCATGGGCGATGCGCGTGCGATTTAACACAGGATGAGTTCAAGCAAGACGAACTCAAACCGGATGACTCTCAATTGGACGAACTACCTGGATGAATTTAAACCGGACGAAAAAAAACGGGATGAAATCAACCGGACGAATTAAAACCGGATGAATTTAACTGGGCGAATCGAATCGGATGAATTTAAACCGGGCGAAATACAACCGGATGAATTCAAACCTGGCGAATTAATTTTGGATGAATTTAAACTGGGCGAGTTAAGTCCAGATGAATTTCAATAAAATTGGATGAATTCAAATCGGACGAATTAAAACAAGACGAGTTTAATTGGGATAGGTTTGAATGGATCAAATTGACAACGCGAGCCACGCAGAGGCACACAGAGGACATTCAAAGCGGATGAAGTTAAACCAGACGAATGAAAACCGGATGAGTTTAAACCAGATGAATTTAATTCGGATGATTTTAATTCGAGCGAATTTAAACCGGATGACAGTACACCGGGTGAAGTTAAATTGATGAAATTTAACGGATGAAACAAAACGGACGAAATTAAACGGATGAAACCAAATGGATGATATTAAATTCTAATGAAATACAGGTGAATCCCCCAGGACCCCCTTCCCCAGGGAAGGGATCAAAAAGAAGGGGCTTTCCTTCGACTCCACTGCGACGTTGTACAGTTTCGCTTTGGATGGCACCCCTGCAGAGGGCCCAGGGAAAGGGACGGGGGGCGACGGATACGGCGAGGAGACGACTGCGACGACGACGAAGACGACGAGGAGACGACGGAGACGAGAGCTCAAACAGAAAAGCCCGTATTCGCCGACAGGGTCGGCGGATTTTGTTTTCGGGCACTCCATTTTTAAATCTCTACGAACCCAACGGTTGTTCAGGGATTTCGGCATGCGCGCGCGACGACGCGACCGTGTGTGCACTTCGTCATGTTTTTGTTTTGCAGTGTATTCTTGAAAACGTGTAATTTTTGATAAACGTGTGCGCGTGCATAGTATGGTTTGCAGAGGATGACGGGGGCCCGCTACCGGATGGGATGGGATGGTACGAGTTTTTATTTGGGATGGTCGATGGGGCAGAATCGTAGATGAATTGCAATACGAAACGGGGGGCTGATAATCTGGGGGGGGGATTTCTGTCTTAAGTAAAAACAGGAGAATCTATGCGACGGTGATGGCGGCGACGGGCGGCACCGCCCGCAAAAGCCGCCACTCGCCCCGAGCGTCGGCGACGGCGACGGCGACGGCGGCGACGGGCGGCACCGCCCGCGAAAGCCGCCACTCGCCCCGAGCAGCGACGACGGCGACGGCAACGGCGCGACGGGCGGCACCGCTCGCAAAAACCGCCAGTGACCCCGAGATCGTTAATCCAAGTAAGAACCCACACGTGCAAACACTGTTTGGGGAACATACACATCTACATACACATTTACATATACGTATACATTTACAGATACATAAACATGTACTTACACATTTCCAAATGTACATATACATACACAGATATGTAAACATACATGCATACACGTAGATACATACATTTGCACATGTTTACATGTGTGTGTGCATGATGTACACTTGGCGACGGGGGCCGGGAGCCCGGCCCAGGGACCTCGGTCCTCCCTGGCCGCCCTAGGGCCGCTACTCCGCGTCCACGACGGACCGAAAGGCCCCGAATAATTCCTCCAAGACGGCCCAGGAGCCGCCCCAAACGTCCCAAGACGGCCCAGGAAGCGCCGAAGATGGTTTCAAAGAGCCCCAAGAGGGCTGACATGTTGAAATCGCACCGCAAGAGCGGGACGAGGAAGGAGGAGGGGAGGCACAAAAGAGGAAGAGAGATAGAGAGGGCCGACCGCACGAGGGAAGAGGGAGAGTGGAAGAGGGAGAGAGGAAGAGGAAGAGATTTTAGTATGTCAGATTTTTGAATGTCTCCCAGGCCATGGTCCACTGCGTGCGTATGCCTATTGCAAGACTGCGCACGTCGCATTCCTGGTTTGCCTGCCGTGCAGTCGTTTCACACGAGCCTTTTGTGGTCCACATCAGGCTCACAGCTTGTTAGTCTCACTCTATCAGCTTTCGCTGTGTGCTGCCTTCTTGTTCACCTTTTATCCTCTCGGAGATCCCCTGACCGTCTTACAAGCCTCTTCTCTTCCATCCCGTGCTTCTCCCGCCCACTGCCTCCCCACGTTACCTCCTAACTCTGCGTTTCTGCGGCTGGGAGCGTGCCACGACGCGCTTTCTCGACGGAAAAGCGTTATCCGTTCCCGTGCCAGAAACGTCTCACACGATTCTGGCCAGCTGGGTCGGCAACTTGAGAAGGGGGTAGCCCCTCGTCAACTAGGAAGGGGAGGGAGCACAAGGGACGGGAGAACAAGCTGGATAGTGAAAACAGGGATGAGGACAACGAGGAGGAGGAGGAGGAGGGGAAGAGGAGGAGGAGAAGAAGAGGAGGAGAGGGAAGAGGGAAAGAGGGGAAGGAGGAGGAGGAGGAGGAGGAGGAGGAGGGGGAGGGGGAGGGGGAGGAGGGCGGGGAGGACGGGGATCAGATTACGTTCTGGACGCTTTAGCGATGCTGGAAGAGGCCCTCCCGTCTCGTGATCCCTCACTCCTAGTCGAGGCAGTATGTGTAGGCCCAGGAAGCCCCCCCCTGAAAAACGAACGACACGTGTGCCTGCCATGCAGGCGAAGAGCCTGAAGACCTCCCAAGGCCCAGGACCGTTTCACTTGCATGTCATCAGCGCGCCCGGGCACCTCGATGTCATTGAATTCGGCAGGTTCCTCGATATGTTTTTCCGCGACAAGTCCGACGTCGTCTCTCGTGGCTGCTCGTGCCAACGCATGTTGCCAGCCACACACGTGGTTGCCGTCGCAGTTTTTATATTGGGACGTTCCTCGAGGTGGCTTTGCACGACAAGTGCGACGTCTTCTCACGTGGCTGATCGTGCCAACGCATATTGCCATCCATACAAGTGGAAATCGCGTCTGCCAACGCAGGAAATAAAAAAGGGAGCCTGAAGGCTCCCTAAGAATCTCCGAACCAATCCCACAATGGTGGAATTCCTCGGTCCGGTCCCTGGTCCCTGCGCGGTCCCCAGTCCCCGGCCCCCGGCCCCCGGCCCCCGGCCCCCGGCCCCTGGCCCCAGGCCCCCAGCCCCCGGCCCCCCGGCCCCCGGCGCCCGACCCTTGGACGACGACGACGAATACGAACAGGCCCACGACGAGCATGTCTCGAGCGAGGCGTGTTTTCACAGGCCCGTTCGCGCCCAGATTGTAGGGATATCTCAGGCGGTTTATTGACTTTAGGTCCAAAAGCAAGGACATTCTGTTCTTTTCTGTTAATTCACAGGTTGGGCTTTCTCATTTTGGCGCCTTCCGAGGTCTCCAGGAGGTCCCCAGGAGCTTCTGGAAGTCGAGGCCCTCCTGGGAGGCCCCGCTACTCCCACACTTCCTGGGCGGCCCCGCCAGAGCGAGGAGGGTATCTCGAGCGCCTTGCTAATTCACAGGTTTCGCGGCCCCTCTTCCCCTCCTGGGAGGCCCCAAGACAGCGAGGAGGGAATTCGTTCGTGCCCGTCCCGACCCTCCTGGGAGGCCCCGCCAGAGCGAGGAGGGTATTCGAGTACAATATTATTTGTCAGGTTTTCGTGCCCCTCCTGCCCCTCCTGCCCCTCCTGCCCCACGACGCTGCCCACTGAGGCCCCGCCGCGCTGCCCACAGAGGCCCCAGACACAGCCCACAGAGGCCGCACGACGCTGCCCACCGAGGCCCCGCCACGCACGCTGCCCACAGAGGCCCCAGACACAGCCCACAGAGGCCGCACGACGCTGCCCTCTGAAGCCCCACGAGGCTGCCCACCGAGGCCCCGCCACGCTGCCCACCGAGGCCACGGACACAGCCCACAGAGGCCCCACGAGGCTGTCCACCGAGGCCCCGCTACGCTGCCCACAGAGGGCCCAGACACAGCCCACAGAGACCCCACGACGCTGTCCGCCGAGGCCCCACCACGCTGCGCACAGAGGCCCCAGACACAGCCCACAGAGGGCCCACGACGCTACGCTGCCCACTGAGGCCCCGCCGCGCTGCCCACAGAGGCCCCAAACACAGCCCACAGAGGCCCCGCGAGGCTGCCCACTGAGGCCCCGCCACGCACGCTGCCCATAGAGGCACTGGCGTTGCCCACAGCCCACAGATGTCCCAAGCGCGCCCGATGGCGTCCGCCATCGCGCGACTTGGACAGGCGCTGGGGGGGGGGTCCTGGGGGTTTATCGCGGCCCCCGAAAGTGTTATCGGGTCGACTTCGGGCGCACCTCGGGAGGAGGGGCGATGCACGGGCGACTCTTCGGTGAGGGGTTGGGGGGGGACTGTCGCGCAGGCGCGGTTGCGGACTACTACCAGTCATTTGTTGGTGTATGTAGCCAGTGTCCCAGGGGTCTTAGCCATCCCAGATGTCGTTCTCCAGCCACTTATGACCATGATCCTTGTCTTCGTCCTCATTCCCGTCCTCCTCGTCGCCCTCCTCATATTTGTCATCGTCCTCTTCCCCCCACCTATCCTATCCGTCCCTCGTCATCGTTTTGTCCTCTTTCCCCCTGTCCTCCCCCGCCTCACCTCCTCGTCTGTGTTCCACCCTCGCTCGGCGAAGGCGGTGGGCGAGCTCTGACCGATTTTCGCTCGCAAACAAAAAGAAAGAGACCTTTAGCCGGCCACCCTCCCAGGGCTACTGTCGCGGAGTGCACACCGCCGACGTCGCGAAAAAAGAAAACATCCCAATTCTCTCCTCAGCCTTCTCCCTCTTCTTCCCCCAGCCGTTCCTTCGGGTACCTGCCCCACGGGACAGACATGCGCCAGTAGTGTCCAGACGAAAAGGGGCCGGCTTTCAAGGAACGCGTGGTACGGATATGTTGCTTTCCCCCATAGTTGTGCTGACTGGGGTGCTGTTGTGATAAAAGCTAGTTCCGGCCGCGGGAACGTCCAGCAGAGACGTCCTCACAAACATTCTGGCGGTTCGGGTCGCTTCGCCTGACACATCCTCACAACTCTCGTTTGTTAGTTGTCCAGGCTTGGGCCTTTCGCCTGAGACATCCTCGCAAATCAAAACTCCGAGAGGCCGTCCGCGAGGTGGTACGGGCCGTTTCGCCTGCGACATCCTCGAAATTCTGGGCTCCCAGACACCGTTCCCGAAAAGTGGTCCGGGCCGTTTCGTTTGAGAAACGCTTGCAACTCTGGACTCCCAGGGGCTGCGCGCGAGGTGGTTCGGGCTTCAGTCTCGCCTCCCACCTAGGAGCTCTCGCTTGTTCCCCATACAGCTGGGCTTCGAGCGCCCGCACGGCATGCTTTTGTCGAGGCCCGTCGTGATGTGATGGTTCCTGGCTGGGTCCATGGCGTGCTGTTCCTCGCGACGGTCTTCTACATCCAGGTCGAGGGCTTCTTCAATTACCTCGTGGTGCTGCACGACGCCCAGGAACTCCTCCTACTGCCGGCGCTCTTCTGAGCGGCAGTGAGGTTCGCCTGCTGTCCGTCTCCTCTGTCCGTCCTTGTTCTTTTTCGTTTCGCCCTTCTCCTTCCGTGCGCTAATTTAGGCCGATGCATCTGCGCTTCGTTCCTTTCGGCCGCCCGGCTCGTCTCGCCGTGGTCGCGATCAAAAAATACCCCATCAGCCCGTTCAGAAGCCCTGCCCCCGAGAGCTGACGAGCAAATGGACGAAAGGGCACATCCAGTGAAACAAAGCGAGCGACCGGGGTGAACCGAGAGATCTCAGGGATCAAGGGGGTGGCTTTGGAAGGCTTTTCCAGGCCATCCCTGGGGGCCGCGCGGGGGCGAGGGGGAGAGGAGGAGGAGGAGGACGAGGACGAGGGCGAGGACGAGGGCGAGGACGAGGACGAGGAGGAGAAGGAGGAGGAGGAGGAGGAGGAGGAGGAGGAGGAGGAAGAGGCCTCTTGGGCGCCTCTTGGGGCACTCCTGGGGCCTCCTGGAAGCTTCCCGGGGGCCTCTTGGACGGTTTTGGGGGGCCAGTGGGGGCGTGGGCCCGCTCTCTAGCCGTTTTGGGGCGTTCCTGGCTTGTTTGGCGCCGTGGGAAGCCGTCCTTGGGCCTTCTTGGGGCATATCAGGGGCTCTTGGAGGCCATTCTGGGTGTCTTGGATGCCATTTTGGCAGTCTTGGGGCCCTCTTGGGGTTGTTTCGGGTGCCTTTTGGGCCGTCATGGGGCCATCCTGGAGGCCTATTGGCCGATATTGGGGGCCTTTTGCGCCGTCTTGAGCTGTCGGAATGCCGAGAAGAAACAGATGCCAACTTTTTTCCGAATCCTTAGGAACATCAGTGATGTTGGCCTCTTCGTGCCCTCCTGGAAGACCTCCTGGACGCCTCTTGGGCCGTCTTGGGGGCCTTTTGGGCCGCCTTGCGCCATCTCGAGGCCATCCTCGGCCGCTTTGGCTGCATTTTGGGCCGTCATGGAGGCATCTTGGGGCCATTTTAGCCGTCCTGGAGGCAATCTTGGCCGTCTTGGAGGCCTCTTGGGCCATTTTGGGGCCGTCTTGGGGGCCTCTTGGGCCTTCACGGGGCCATCATGAAGACCATCGATCAAAGGAGGAGTTAGGATAACGTTCGACCCCGCCCCCAAAGAGGCCACAATGGTGCCAAAACCGTATTACAACCAGTGATTTGGGCGCCCAAAGGGCTGGTGGGAGAACGTTGAGCCCCCCTACAGAGGCCACAATGGGGCCAAAACCTTTTGTAAAACCGATGATTTGGGCGCCCAGAGGGCTGGTGGGATAACGCTCGCCCCCCAAAAAACAAACAAAAACTGCCAAAACAGGGCCAACACCTTTTGTAAGAGCAGTGATTCCGGTTTCCTCGCCGAGGCCGTTGTGGACGCCCTGACACCTCGCGGGGCCCCCAAAAAAAGTCAGGTGCAAGGGGAGGGTAAACCCATCCCCGTAGGGGAAGAGGTTTTTACTTAACAGCTCTTGCTGATAGGTTTCTAGTGGTCTCAAAAGAGAGCATCATGACTCCTCAGGGGGGTCTGGGCGGGACCCGGACAGGCTGCCGTCGAAGCCGAAATCGCTTGGGACATCCTCGCAAAATCGCTCTTGGTGCTCCCAGAACTCCATTCCCGGGCCACATTTTGGATGCCCGGAGCCAACTGTAGGCCACTTCGTGCTCTTCGATTTCCCAGAACTCCATTCCCGGGCCACATTTTGGATGCCCGGAGCCAACTGTAGGCCACTTCGTGCTCTTCGATCCCAGCCCGGAGCCAACTGTAGGCCACTTCGTGCTCTTCAAGTTCCCAGAACTCCATTCCTGGGCATGATTTTGAATGCCCGGAGCCAACTGTAGGCCACTTCGTGTTCTTCTAGTTCCCAGAACTCCATTCCTGGGCCACATTTTGAATGCTGAGGCAGGCTGATGCTGCGGCCGAGGCAGGCTGAGGCTGAGGCAGGCTGAGGCTGAGGCCGAGGCTGAAGGCAGACTGAGGCTGAGGCTGAAGCACTGAGGCTGAGGAGGCAGGCTGGCTGAGGCTGAGGCTGAGGCTGATGCAGGCTGAGGCTGAGGCAGGCTGAGGCTGAGGCCGAGGCTGAAGGCAGACTGAGGCTGAGGCTGAAGCAGGCTGAGGCTGAGGCTGGGGCAGGCTGAGGCTGAGGCAGGCTGAGGCTGAGGCTGAGGCAGGCTGAGGCTGAGGCTGTGACTGCGACTGCCGTTGCCGTTGCGACTGTCATCGCGAATGCGACTACGACTGCGAGAACAGCAGAATTCTACAACTGGATTTTCATCTGAATCTTAAGGGGAATGCTTTCAGATATGCTTCTACACATCGCTGTTAGGTTGCTTTGCCGGGATATATTTTTAGGAAGAGGGAATCGGAATCTCGTTAGACCACCTGTCGCACAAAGGGCTGGTGGGATTATTGCAGACCGTGCGGAGGGGATCTCACACGCCGCACCTGGAGGGACAATCGCTTCGCTCACTCCGCCGGCCCATCTTGCATCACTGGTGCTATATGTTCGCGTGTTCGTGGCTACCGA